CTGCCATCCTCCCTGCAGCCCCCAGCTCTCAGGGTTGCTCAGACACTCCCCTCTTTCCACCCCTTACGGTCCCAACAGAGCCTCCTAGGTAGACAGCTCTCCAGGGAATGAAGTGGTTTCCTCATGGGAAGGGAAACAGAGAGTTTATCTATTTCCTTTGGAACCTGTCCATGCAAAGCACTGTCAAAGACTGGGCTGGGGTAAAAAAGGCATCAGGCGGGGACCCAGAGGGCAATGTGCAGAATTCTGGCCACAGCCCCCAGAATGTGTTGTTACTGGCTATGTCCATTCTTATTTGGCAAGCAGTCTTTGCACAGGCGTTTGCTCTTCAGGCTGGGCTTGATGTATCCTGGGTCAGAAGGGAAAGGCTGGTGGCCATGCTGGATCACAGGGCCTGGGGCTTGGGGGAGGCTGCAGAGCTTGGCAGGGTTCCATCAGTGGTGCAGGCCCAAGGGAGTCACCACTAGGAACCCAGACCTGGGCAACGAGAGGTTCTTTTATTCTGGCTTCTCCCTACAGCACCACCTGCCAGGCCAGAACAGAAAGAAGGGCGATGGAGACCGGCAGAGAAACAGCAATTACTGCTCGGTGAGAAGTAAACAGTGTCTGCTTCCAGAGGCTTTATGGACCAGAAAGCCTGTAGGAAATAGCTCCTGCTTCCCAACCTGGAGTTCCTCACGCACTAGCCCTCCCTGCTACAATTTTGATGGTTTTTTTGCATATTTACAGAACTGTGCGACCACCATCATGATCAGTCTTAGAAGAGTTAATCACCTCTCACCCCAGAAAACTCTGTATTCATTAGCAGTCACTCCCTTTCCCCCTCCCACTCCTCTCCAACGTTAGGCAACCACTGATCTACTCTCTGTCTCCATAAACTGGTCTATTTTGGACATTTCACATAAGCCTCCCTGGATCCCAGTTTAAGCATCCTGGGGTTTGTCTGCCTGCCGGAGCCATGGTGCCAGTGGGGCTACCTGTCCTGTGGGATAACAAGGCAGGTTCAAACCTTTGCCTGCTCTCCCATTCATTCCTTTTGTGTTAGTCCATGAGTCTCCTAACTGTTCTCTCCAATGACAACCACAGACTGACAAAACCTACTGACTTGGAGTTAGGAACAGACTTTGCTACTTTCTGGCTGTGTGATCCTGATGAGTCACTTGAAACTCCTGGACTTCTTCCTCAGCCTAAAACCAAGACTAATAAATCAAGTCTATCTCACTGCCTTACATGGGGATTAAAAAAGATAGAGCATGCGAACACACATTGTACATCACAAAGCTGTATGCAAATAAATATCGTGTAATTCCAGCCCTTTTTGAGTTTATAAATAAAAGTGAAAACCTCATAATTCTAAGTGCTCCCCTTCCTTGCCTCTATTCCTCTGCGTTCATTGGTCTGTGTGCCTATTACACAGCTGCCAAGGATAACGCAAGAGACCCAGCCATGAGAAGCAAGAAGAGAAGAGCTGACCACTTTCCAGTGTCCCTAGATGAAAAATACAAAATGATCAGCCCTGGGCTGGGTAAGCTGTTGCCCAAAAAGTGCTGGCCCTGCCACAATACACAGGGCACCATGACCAATGGACTTCGGACTGGGGCAGTCCTGGGTTAAGCGCTGGCTCTGTTGTGCCATCTCTGCCAACCTAATTAACCTCCTCTTACCTGTTTCCTCACTTGTACTATTTGGAATAAAAATATTTACAACCTGTGAGGCATCTGCTAGGATAGCCTGACATAAGGGCTCAGCACAGAGCCTGGCTAATGGTAAACAGTGAATTGCAGCCACTGTGATTAATGCTGTCATGGTTGTAATGATTACTGTTGTTATCAAAGAAGGAGACAACAAATCAGTACAGAGCACTGACTCTCATGTAGGCTTTAGGACAGTGTCCACAACCTCTCTGGACCCCAGCTTCCTCATGTTTAAAATAGACATAAAAATAGTACCAAACTCATAGTGTAACGGTGAGGGTTAATGAGTTCACACACATAATGTGCTTAGAACAGACAGCTATAGATTTGTTACCGTATCTCCTAAGATGGTTTCCCTCATCCCCTCACAGATCCACAACCACTCCTGTGTTTCTTTCTCCCACATTCTCCTTTGCATAACCTCTCTTGATCCCTGTTTTCCATTTAAAAGGTTCTTCTGGTATTTCTCCAACTTGCATAATAGCTTCTAGTTTTCCAGTCTCACCTAACAGTCTGTTTGCACCTGCAAAAGTCAAATAACTGAAACATTTGATAGATCCTCCTGGAAAATGCTAATGCCTAGTAAAAGAATGACCCCAGGAATGAGAAAAGACCTCAGACCCATTCTTGAAGGTGGGTCCCTGCCTGCTAAACCCAGCTCATAACATTTTTTTCCCATTTCCTTCCCAGTTGAATGTTTTGGGCAAGATTAAAGGAATTCTAGCAAATGTCAGGGGCTCAACTGCCCAGAGCATTAGAATAAAATTTCATTTTCTCCTTAGAGTTTTAGGGGCAGTGATTCTAAGGCTTAAAGGGGGAAACATTGATGAAATCTAAAGAATCAGCAAAAGGAAGGTGAGGCAAATGATTATCTTCTCATCTTGCCTGCTGCTACTGATTGCATTATCATTTATCGCAGTGCCTGCTCTCACCTAGGAAAAGCATCTTGCAATATCAGGTTGAATAAATATCCCAACCATCAGTGCGGGAATACAAGCCCAAATCAGCCAAATCTTAAGTGCATTTGCATCTAATCCCTTTATAATCCTTTCTATGGAATAGAGTAAAAGCTGAGCAAGACATTACAGCCTTCCCAGGGTGCACAGGACACACACATCCCTGCTCAAATTCCATAATGTAATTATCCAAGGTGCCTCCTTTGAGGGTTTGAGGCCCGAGCATTCATGCTAATGACATAGCTCCTGTCCAAGATGACTTTGTGCACTTGCATGCGCACATGCGCGTGCACACATACACACACACACACACACACACAAATAAACAATAGGGGACAAAACCTCCAAAGGAAAGTGAGTTGGCACAGACCTTAAGGGTTGCCTCACTCACTCATCCTCAACCCCATTTTACAGAAGAGGACACTGAATTCCAGAGTAAGGGACTGACATGTCCTAATGCTCTGTCCTTTTTCTTTTTTGTTTCCTCATTTGTCACATGCAAGTAATTTCTTCTATATTGCAGGGTTTTTGAGGATACAATGAGAAACACAAGCCCAGATATGTGGTAGATGCTTAATAATTATACTTTCTGCTCTTCCTTCTCAAACTACTGAGTTATGTAATAATTTTGTTTTGTTTGCTTTCTCCTGAACACTTAGTAGGACCACAATATTAAGGAAGCTAGGAAAGTTATGAAGGGCTCACCTTGCAAAGCATAAGATTCTCCCCCAGGGTAGATGGTGAGATTTTGGAGGTTTTACTTGCTAGTTCATTTATTTAACAAATTCAGAGTCAGCCATTGTTATAAGCATTTGGGGATTCAATAGTGAATAAAACATTTATTGAGAGAGACAAATCTTAAATCATTACACTCATAATCATTTAATTAAAATTCTGATTAAGTGCTACAAAAGGCAGACAGGTGACTGTGGGAGTACATGAAGGGGAACTTGGAGTCTGGAGTGGAAGATAATCAGGGAAGGCTTCCCTGAAGAAGTAACATTTACATGTAGATATGAAGGGTGATTAGGAACTCGTCCAACAGTAAATGGGACTGAGAATGAGAACTGCAAAGAGAAGCCTGGGAGGAGAGAGTAGAAACATGTGCAAAGGCCCTGAGGAGAGAAGGTACCTGCCACACTTAAATAACCAAATAGGATTAGCAAGAAGTCCAATGGGCTGGTTTTGTGCTTGTATGCTTACTTGTTTTTCTTCAGTTTGGAAGAGGACAAAAGTCAGCATCAACAGAGCCCTGAGGAGGAAGGGCCATTAGAGTGAGTAGTCAATGATTCAGCCTTGACTCATCCTGACCCTGATTCTGACCCATGGATCAGGCCAGGGTAGGAGTTGCTGCAACTCCAGAGGAATCAGCAGGACAGCCTCAGGAAGAGAAGGCTGAACCCCTGAGACAGAGCAAGGCTGGTCCACAGAGCAGCCCCCATCAGACGTGCTTATTACAACAATCTCCCTCCTTCATCCCACCCCACCACTGCCCTTGCTACAAAAGGGAGCAAAGTTTCCGTTTCATCAAGGACCAATCTTTCAGAGCCAATTGAAAGCCAGAAATGCATGTCTCTTAGGCTTCATGTCTTTATTAATCCTCATCCCAGGGGCACTGTGTATAAGGGTTAAAAGCCGGGGCTCTGGAGTTAGACTGCCTGAATTTGAATCCTGACATTGTCATTTACTAGCTGTGTGACCTCAGGCAAATCTCTTAACCTCTGTGTCCTGATCTATAACATGAGGATAACAGTGGACTCACTGATAGGGTTGTTATAAAGATTAAATGAGATAACGTACACAACATAGGGACATATAGGTGGAAACGTTCAATAAATGGAAGCTTTATGATGATTATAATGATGATGATTTCATTAATATCTCAGCATCATAGCAACCATGTAGTATCCATCTACAATGCTCCAGAAACTGAGCTAAGCATTTCATATCCTTTCTTTTGAATGCTCCTCCAAATTTGGTGTAATGATCCCCATTTTCTAAATAAGGAGACAGGCTCAGAGGAGTTAAGTGATGCAGCTATTTAGTGACACAGTGCAGATTCAAACCCAGGCTCCAAAAGTAGTCCACCCTCCACATTTCTATACCAAATTAACCACTTCTCATCAAAAGCCTGTAAAATCCTGTTAATTACAACAAATGAGTATGAAGTCAGTTTATACTACCTGTTCATTAATTGGCAGATTTTTTTTTAACATCATTCCTTGTCCCAGGAGGACTCTCCAGGGGTCTATTACTACCATACACTTCTTTGGGGGAAATGAAACAACAGCTGGCCCTGCCAATCACCATGGCAACACTCCTGTAACTACTAGAACCATGCAACAGCAAATTTATACATACATACACATTCCAAATTTGCACTTAACTGCTATATTATGTATGTACTTGTTCATGACACCACTTGGAGCTCAGGTAGAGGTATTTTCAATCAGCTCCAACATCCCTTTCCCTCCTTGGACGTTTCCAAGACCCCATCAAGCCTGGTGCAGGTAGGGAGAGAGGTTGCTGGGGAGAATAGAACATTGCCAAGCTCTGGCGCCACATACTGCACTCTGGCAACGTGTAAGTGGAAGGCAGGCATTATGGGTGTGTGACCTCTGCAATCACACAGGGCCTCATGCTCTGTGCTTGGTTCAATACTCTGCTGGCACCATCTTGAAATTCTTAATGATTTTTGAACAAGGGGCTCCACATGTCCATTTATCAGTGAGCTCCTCAAATTATATAGCCAGTTTTGGGTGAAGACAAAGCAATGGACAGATACTGTGAAGTTCCTTTCTGGGTGGCATTTTCTCTTTCTTTTCTCCTTCCTTTCAGAGCTCCCAAGGCACCCCACATTCTAGCTCAAGAGCTCTACCCGACCAAAACTCAATGGCCTTTCCTCAGGAAATCCAGCTATGCTAATGCCACCAGAACTGAGTCAGAACTCTGAACTCTACAAATACAGTTCCTCTGTATTGAGTGCGTGCTAGGTGCCAGGCACAACACTCAACTGGGACAAATATTATTTCTGATCTGGGAGATAGATAGGTACGATCAGCCCCATTTCACAGTTGAGGACACTGAGACTCAGAGAGATTCAGTGACTTGTCTATGGTCACACAGTGCATCAAACAAAATCTGATGAGCCTTCTCAAAGGCTCTTGATGTCACCTGCTTCCAGAACATTCTGCCACTAACCCTGCCTAGGTTGCTGCCCTGCCTGACTTGAGCTCAGGCAGTTCTGCCATTTGGGGCAGACTGGCTACAAGTCCTGGAGTATGGGCCCTTCCTAACCCCATGCCTATAGTTTCTGGCTCCTCTTACCTCTTCCAGACTTGGATGAAAACACTCTCCAGCATGGGGTGGGAACTGGTCTCCTGAGAGGCTGCCATCAGGACTGGGTGATACAATCCTGAAGTGCAGAAGAGTTAACTCCCACTAGGAAAACTTTGACCAGTGGAAAATAGGAGTTGAGAGGGAGCAGGACACATACATTCTTTCTTCCTCTCTCCATGGACTGCTTCATGATAGTCTGTCCTTGCAGCTCATCCACCCAAGTCCCACATGTCATGCTGAGCGCTCTTGTGCAGTGACCTTCTGGGTGTCTCCATGGCTGTTTCTGACATAATAGCCATCAAGGAAACACACCACTTAATGTGGCTTCACATCCTTCTTTGCCTTACTTCCTTGTGTCTCACCTTTGCTGACATGAATTTGCATCTTCCAAATGAAACATCTCAGTTTTAATTTTTGCCCCAGGCTTTATCTTCTAGAGAAGCTAGCCTAACATACACATAGGAAGGGCAGCCTTCCCACTCAGCCCAGGGTGTGGTTGAACTTCATTTAGGCTGGATGTGGAAATCGGCCACCTGCTTTGCTGTAAATGTGAGTTTTGGTTCTCTGCTCTCCCACAGCTGTAGAAATGGCCCCCACCTGAGAGATGCAGTGGCTATTCCAGCTTGCTGGCCAGCACAGACCTTCCTTCTCTCTCTTCCCATTCCATCTTCTCGCCCTCCCCATTCCATCTGTATGACCCGACCCCACCCCACCTTAAGGCATGGTTAATTGTTCAGTAGTGACACTTGGCCCAAGTTGACCCAATGAATCTCTTCCTCTCTTGGGATTTTTAAACTCAGGACTGAGTGATTCCATCTCGGCTTCTTTCTACATACTCTCTCCAAAACCACGTACCCAGTGTCTACAGCTCTGAGAAATCCTGGGAGTGGTCAGTGGCCATCCTTTCTGTTATATGGATAATGTCAATCTTCAGCGTGAGAGAAGAATTCCACCAATATGCAGAGAGAAACAGAGGCAGGAGTTACAGAGAATGTCCTAATGGCAGTCTCAGGTACGTGGCTTTCTACATTCCAAAGCTTAACTGCTCTTCCACCCTCTCCAAGGTTCAGCTGCTCTGTGTGCTCACACAGTAACCTCCATTAAATGTCTCTTGTGGCCTAATCCTATTCTAATTATGCTTCTGCCATTTGTGACAGACGGAAGCGCAGCTAGCACAGTGTATTCCACTGAGGGGTGAGAAAATGGGGAGGTGGGAAGAGGCTAAGTTTTGGACTCCAAAAGGTCTGGGTTTCAATCTCGAACTCCATCACTTTCTATCAGTGGACCATGGACGAGTCATTTAACCTCTCTGTGCCTGAAGTTCCTCGTCTGAAAATTAGAGGAATAACATCATGTTTCAAGCCAGATGTGAGGACTGAATTGGGACCAGGTTTACAAATAACATGCTTAGCACAGGGCCCACACACAGAAGCTGCTCAAAAATGTGGATTACTTTTTCCTGCCTTACATGCCAGGGTAAGGGGATATCCCTAAAGGCAGGCTTTGCTTCAGCCCCAGACCCCACTTGGTTGGATCAGAAAGCACTGTTGGTTACTATAAACTGTCCTAATTCCCAGCACTTTGGTAGGGGAAAACAAGACCTACGGGCCTTCCCCAGAAATTAGAGTTTCATAAACTCTCATCCCTGAAGCACACCTCTCAGATAGGATAGCTCCACCTTTCACACTAGACTGCTCTGAAAATCCTCAAGACTGGTCACTCAGCTTGGACTTGAATATGCCTCCTAACAGGAACCTCCCTCCCTCCCCAAAGCAGCACATTCCATGTTTACATAACTCTGACATGAATAAAGGATTAAGTTTCCCTCCTCCATCAGGCTTGGAGTCTTTGACAGATTGGAAACTCCAGATTTCTATGACAGTAAGATTGAAGCCTTGAAAGATCTTAATGTCATCATCATGAGCCTAAAAGAGATCTTTGAAAAAGATACTACATGGATCATATGGCAGAAGCACGTTTAGTTTTGTACCAAACTGCCAAACTGTCTTCCCAAGTGGATATTTCATTTTGCAGTTCCACCAGCGATGAATGAGGATTCCTGTTTCTCCACATCCTCACCAGCACTTCGTGTTGTCAGTCTTCTGGATTTTGGCCATTATAATAGATGTATAGTAGTGTCTCATTGTCATTTTAATTTGCATTTGCCTGATGACATAAGATTTGGAACTTCTTTTAATATGCTTATTTGCCATCCATATATCTTGGTGAGGTGTCTGTTAAGGTCTTTGGCCCACTTTTTAATCAGGTTGTTTGTTTCCTTATTGCTGAGTTTTAAGAGTTCTTCGTATATTTTTGATAACAGTCCTCTATCAAATTGTCTTTTGCAATTGTTTTCCCCACTTCTGTAGCTTGTCTTTTCATTCTCTTTACAGTGTCTTTCACAGAGAAGAAATTTTTAATTTCCAATCATTATATTCATTGACATTCACCTCAAAGACTTGAAAATTATGTCCATACAAAAACCTGTACATGGATATTTATTGTAGCTTTATCCACAATTGCCAAAACTTGTAAGCAACCAAGACATCCTTCAGTAGGTGAGTGTATCCATTATCGTACGTTCAGACTATGGAATGTTGTTCAGCACTAAAAGGAAATGAGCTATCAAGCCGTGAAAAACATGGAGGAAACTTAGACACATATTACTAAGTGAAGGAAGCCAATCTGAAAAAGCTACAAATTGTATGATTCCAGCCACATGACGCTCTGGAGAAGGCCAAACTATGGCGACAGTAAAATAATCAGTGTTTCCTTGGGGTAAGATGAATAAGCAGAGCACAGAAGATTTTTAGGGCAGTGAAACTACTGTGTATGATACCATAATGGTGGATACTTATCATTATACATTTGCCCAAACCCGTACTGGGAACAACAGCAAGAGTGAACCTAATGTAAACTATGGACTTTGGGTGATTATGATGTGCCAATGTAGGTTAATCAGTTATAACAAATGTGCTACTTTGGTGATAGATATTGATAATGGAGGAGGCTATATATGTGTGGGGGGTAAGGGGTATGTAGGAAATCTCTGTTAACTTCTGCTCCATTTTACTGTAAACCCAAAATTGCTCTACAAAGAGGTCTATTCAAAAAGGTATTATATAACTCACTTTAACCAGGACTATGTTTACACAGTACTTTGTGTCCACACATCATGATCATAAGATCAAAATCATGTTGGAAACTGAAGAAAGAAAATTACATGACAGTCTTCCAATCCAGAGACAAAGTCCAGCTCCCATCTCCTTGAATTCTGGTAGGTTCCATGCCTACTTCAACTAACACAATATGGACACTGCCAGTTTCCAGAGCTAGGACTTATGAAGCTGGCAGTTTGTATTCTCCGCTATTTGAAATACTGTCTCTGGGAGCAATGAACTCCAAACCCTGAAGCCGCCATGTTAATGTGGCCGCATGTAGGTGTTCCAGCCAATAGTCCCAACTCATATGTAAGTTGCTTTGCTGGAGGGATGGCTTGAAAGCCTGCCTGAATTTCTGACCACAAAGTTATATCATAATAAAATGTTATCTTAAACTACTAAATTTTGGGGTGATTTGTTATGCAGCAAGAGATAACTGAAACAACCTTTGTCCCATCCAACAGATGGGAAAATAGAGGTAGAACGAGGTAAATGACTTGCCTAGATAGCTGGGCAACAAGTGAGCCTGGACTCCAAGACTTCTTATTCTTAGCCCCATTTTTCTACTTCATCTTAATTGCACTATGAAAACCTATAGCCATCATCAGCAAAGCATACTCGCCTTTAGTTTTAACTAAGGTAACATTATCTGGCACTTCTGTAGCCTGGTGTCAGTAGAGTTCTTTGGCTGTGTTCTAAGTGCTGTATGTCCATTTACTTATTTAATCCTCAGGACAATCCTATGAGGTAAGTGCTATTTTAATCTCTAAATTATCAATAGGGAAACTGAGGCACAGAATGATTAAGTAATTTGCCAAAGGTCATATAGCTGGAGGGAAGCAGAGCAGGGATTTGAACCCAGATATTTTTGTTCCTGAGACCATGTGCTTAATTACTGAGGTATATTGTTAATCAAAAAACCTAGGGTATCTTAGATCTCTTCCATTTATTAGATCTCTTCTAATAGAGATGATCTGAATTCACAGCCACTATGGGTGGCTCAGTGCCTCATATGGCTTCCAACATGAGTAATTTCTAAAAGGTTTCGAGAAGCTTTTAGGAGACTTGAGAACCATCGATTGTTCACTTACAACACGGAGCAAAGCTAAAAAGGATATAAATGCTTTGTATCCAATTGGGTGCAGCATCTTTTTGTCTGCCTGAAACCCCAACAGAGAAGCCAGGGCCACCCAAAGAATGCCACAATTAATTTCCCAGAGCGCAATATTGCCTGTGGGAAGAGGAGGCGCCGGCTCATTTCTTATTCATGAAGTCACACTGCCAAGCTTCATTTGCATGAAGTAATTTCTACTGCTGCTACCCTACCATAAAATAAATCCATTTCTCCTACAGTATCTAGTATCTTTACACTAAGAGAAATGAGTAAGCAATATGTGCTATAAGAACACAACTTTTAGACCATTTTAATCAGAAACATGTCTGTAGCTAGCAATAAGTGATTTTATAGGAATATAAAATCTTTTGGGCTCAACGTACTCAAGGGCAACTCTGCCTCAAGGTCTGTTTTTGGGAATGTGTTTAGCATTTCTTCCTGCTTGACCAAACTCTGAGGTTTTACAACCAGAGGAGTTGTGGAATTATAGCTACTGTACCATCGTCCAGAAAGAAAAAGAAAAAAAAAAGAAAGAAGAAAGGGAGGCAGGTCAGTAGCCAACCGAATCCTAATTAGATGAGTTACTAGAAATGTAGATGACTTCATGTATATAGAGAGAATAGTGGTCCTGTAAAGATATCCACACCTTAGTTGCTGGAACCTGTGAATATATTACACTCAAAAGGGACTGTGCAAATGTAATTAAGATTAAGGACCTTGAGATGGGGAGAATATTGTGTATTATCCAGGTGAGCATAATCTAATCATGTGAATCCATAAAAGTGGAGAAACTTTCCCCACTGTAGACAGTCACAGAGAGATGTGATTACAGATGAATGCTCAGAGAGAGGCAAAGTTGCTGGCTTTGAAGATGGAAAAGGAGCCATGAACCAAGGAATGTGGGCACCCCCTAGGAGTTGGAAAAGTCAAGGACACAGAATTTGCCCCTAGAACACCTAGAAAGAAACACAGCCCTTCCAATGCCTTGATTTTAGCCCAGTGAGACCCTGTCAGACTTCTAACCTATGAAAGTATAAAATAATAAGTTTCTGTTGATTCAAGTCACTATATTTGTAGTAGTGTATTACAGCAGCCATTGAAAATTAGTATACTTTGTATGGAAAGATCTTTGCCACTCACTAGCTGTGTGACCCAGCCTGAGCAACCTTACCCATCAGAACTAGCATTCCTCAGGGAATCAGAGCAAATTAGATAAAGCATCTGAAAGTTTTATAAGTCTCAAAGGGCATTGCAGAGATAAGATTTTAATATCATTAGTATTGTTATTCCAGTCAATTATACTTTGTTCAAGGGATAGCCCAGGAGGGATGGCTGGAACTTTCTAGTTCATAATTCTTAAACATAATTTAAGCAACTAATACCATCTTCCTCCTGACCAAATATTTTTCAGAGGTGATAAAAGTAAATTTAAAAAAAGACAAGAGGGTGCTTAATCATTTCTTCAGGACACTTTTCAAGCTCTATCTTGGATAGTAATTGGGGATGGGAATGGATATATCAGCTTTTTATTGCCACACTAACAGTATGTTACAAACTACCCTGAAAGTCTGTATCTAAAAACAAGAAGCATTTATTTCACTTATGAGTCTGTAGCTCTGTGATCTTGGGTGGGTGTGGCTGGACACTGCTGGCTGTGGCTCAGCTCACGCTTAAGACACGGTCAAATGGCTGTTGGATGACTGGTCCCTTCTCCACATGCCCCTCACCCTCCACCAGACCAGCCTGAGCAGCTTCTCATGGCCATGGAATAGGAGCAACAGTGGAAATGTGCCAAGGTCTTTGTAAGTCTCTGCATATATCTCCTAAAATACCATTGGCTAAGACATGTCACTTGGCCAGACTTAGAACCAAGTGGTTCTTTAGCAAAAGAAAATGCAAAGTGATGTGGCAAAAGGGCATGGGGAGGATGTGTGTGTGTGTGTGCAGGTGTGTGTGTGTGTGTGTGTGTGTGTGTATAGAATCAGGGCCACTGATAGAGTCAATTTACTACAGAGAAAAGCAAAGGAAATTTGCTTTATTTAAAATTTATTAAGGGCCTACTGTATGCTAGGAACTCATCTAAGGGATAGGAGATAAATATAATCTACCCTATGCAGGGAATTTATATTCTAATGGATTGTCTGAGATGAGTGCCTAAGGGGCAAAAGAGCAACATTTGATGTGCTCCTATAACCTGCCAGGCCTGGGCCAGGCACTGACGATATAGCTGTGAACCTTATATTATCACATTTACTCTACACAATAACCCTGAAAGGTGGGTGTTATGCTTATCCCTATTTAATAGGGAAACCAAGACTCAGCAAGGTTAAGCTGTCTACATGCCCAAGTTCAAGATACAGAGATACATCTATCTCATTCCAAACCCCAGATTCATTCTGCTACACTCTGGAAAGCATTCCTTCACTGACTCAACAAATATTTAAGTGCCTCTGTGCCAGGCACTGTTCACCTCTCCTTAGAAATGACTCACAACATTTCTCCCTTTGAGTATCTGTCAGATTTCACCAACTGCAAACAGAATCCCTGCCCTTTCCCACCTTGACTGCTGTGTGGGGTCAGCATGGTTAAGAGATGCTAAGTAACTCCTTTAAAAACAACAACAACAACAATAACAACAACCCTCTGGCAGGAGCAATTTATTATCATTACTGTAACCTCTGGTTCACTTCAATCTTAGGTTCCTGGCCTTTTATTTATAGTGGTTTCAAAAAGGTTCCACGTCATTAATTGCTCACCATTTAGGCCAATTAGGTGAGGTTAGAACTTCAGGGTAAATCAGCCCACACAGGTGGCAAAGGCAGCTGTGCCCGCCTGGTGTACTGGCTCTGCCTTTTAAGAAATATAATAGCCCAGAGGTCGTATGAACAGGTTGGTTGGGCTGTATGGCTCGCATAAAATGAATGAGCTATAGACTGATGTTGACTGTGGACTGAATTTCAACAACACAGACTTGAACATGGTGAGAAGTTTAAACTAATGATTTAACCATAGTACTTTGCTATTCAGTGAGAAAAAACCTTGGGAGAAAAGCTTATAACAGAGCTGTCAACCTAGTGAATTAAACCTGGCTGAACAAAGCTTTGTACATCTGATTGTGATGTGACATCCAATAGCATATGCAGAACCCAGATTCTTGAGAAGAAGAATCCACTTCAGAGCAAGGACCTTAGCTTTCCATCTTTGGAACACAGCAGACAATAGTAGCTCAATAAATATCTGAGTGAGTAAATATGTGGATGAGTGAACAGATGGATAGATGGGCAGGCAGATGGATAGATGAAAGAATGTAACAATAAAATATGGGAATGAACAGGTAGGAATAAATATTTTTCAATAAACAAATGTATTTGTGAGTTTTAAAAAATTAAGTTACAAGACAGTTATGGGGGTGGATGGGAAAAGGAAGAAAACATTTATTGAATACCTTCTGTATGTCAACACTTAATGTATATATTTTCTCACTGAGTTCTAACTGCACCTTTCCAGAGATGCCTTAATCATCTTCTGCTCAAGAAAACCATACTGAGGCTCAGAGAGTTTCCTCAGGGGACCTGGCCAAAAACACCACAGCTCAAACCTAAGTCTGCCAATTTTCTAAAGACCGTGCCCTCCCTCTTTTGCGGACCAACCTTCTGGTGTGGTAGATGAGGAAACCAAGGTAGGGAGAAATAGAATGATTTGACCACATCAGTGGCCCATGTGTAATAAGATCGTGGGTGCTGCCTAGATCTGTTGTCCTCCTCTCTGGAGGAGCCACATGGTGAATAGGGATAGTCCAGAGAGACTAGAGCCATCAGCGCAGCACGCAGAGTGCTGGGAGCCTGGAGTCTGGAGCCAGGCTGCTGTGTCTGAATCCTGACTCTATCACTTCCTAAGTGCATGTCCTTGTGCAAGTCACTTAACTTCTCAGTGCATCAGTTTACTTATGTGTGAAATTAGGATGATGACAAAACGACCTCAGAATTATTGTGAGCACAAAATGAGCTCTGATAGTGCCTGGCTCAGAAGCTGCAAGCAATAAGCATTAGCACCTTTCTTCTTACAGTCTGCTGTTCCAAGCCACTTTTAATATTTTGCATTCCCAAACCTGACAATCCCTGACTTAACACCTTGATGGAGCAGAGGACTTTCTGCTAGTTGATGTGTGCTTGGAAGCACAGAGCTGGGCTAACTGAGACATTCCAAAAGGGAATTTCTTTTTCTGTCTGTGGCTTTAGGGTCACAAATTCAGGTGGCAGGCTCACCTGTAGGTTAGCAAAA